TATGTAATATGTAACAAAAGTAATTTTTTAAGTATGTCTGAGTCTGATTAAAGTCAGAAATTTGAGAAAAAAATTCAGAATTCTGACTTTTAATTTTTCAGTGGCCCTAATCCTGTTTCAGGTTCACATTTATGACAATATTTAATATCCACTGGTTTATAAGGTGATTCAAGAGGAAGATCTTTCAATTGTTCATCATAAAAACATGTTTCTGTCTGCAGTAAAAGAAAACAAACCAGCCTGTAGAGGAAGTGCCCGCTGGCCGCGTGGAGCCCACTCAGGAGCTCCACTGCCGTGGGAAGAAAAACACAGAACAGAGGGAGTTGTTTACCTTACAATCCTTGAAGAACATCTCTGAACTTAATCAATGCATCATCATCATCATCATCATCACCGGTGTCCTCTCCATGAACGTCCCTCTATCACAGACCAACACCGGCTTAGTGGAAACAAACCCCTTTCTCTCTATATCTGTCTGTCTGTCCGGACAGCAGCACTAACGTTACCTCCGCCTCACTTCCGCATACCTGCAGCCAGGTAACTGCAGTGGCGCGGCGCGTGCCAGGTGTGCACAGGTGTGCCGGTTGTTGTTTTTTGTTTTTTTTTAAGCGAAGGAAGCGGTGACGTCCCTTTAAAGAGAAGGCGGGACGTCGAAGTCACGTTCAGTGTTTTGAGAAGAAGACCGAAACCTTTTTAGGAAAGACCGGAGAGTTTGGAGAAAGTAGAATCGTCATCATACGTCACTGAAGCTGATGAACCGGTTTACTGTTTCAATTGAGCTGTTTCAATTTCATATCTGAAAATGTTTACACCACATAATGATTTTTATCAGCAAGAATAAACGCCTTGATATTCAGCTTATTCTATAATCTATGGGGCGCCAAATGTGAAAAAAATAAAAAAATTCACTGTCATATTTCTGTGAAAGTGGCAGCTGGAAAATAGAGGGCGCTAGGGCGCCGCCCCACCCACTCAATCACCCTAATTAAGATATAAAAAAGAAAAATTATCATTACATTTTTTTAAATTGACATTTAAAATATTTTTACATATATTAATATGTATTTCTTAGATGTGCAAGATACGTATTTAATCTTGAATGGCTAGTAAAGGTTCATTCAATTTTTCATCGGATTGGTGACGTAATTCTGCCCTAGGGTGCAAAAATCTTTGCCCATTGACTCTCGTTAACAGTTGTACATGTGAGGGCGTGCAGGTGGCACAGTGCTTAACACACACAACCCATGTATGGAGGTCTTAGTCCTTGATGCAGCCGACCCGGGTTCAAATCCGACCTGTGGTCCTTGGCCGCATGCCTCTCCTCTCTCTCATACCCCCATTCCTGTCAGCCTACTGTTCAAAAAATGAGCCGTTAGTGCTGTGAAAAAAAAAAAGTTCCACATGCTGTGGAAATGTATAGGAGAGCTTGGGGTGCAGCTCTGATGTGCTGACAGGAAGTGTATTTTGCTCATCACCTCTTTATTCTCGTAATGTTACCACTGTATTCTTAAAATAAAAAAAAATCTCTAGCCTGGCCCTAATACTCCATCGTAGTTTTACCAGCATACCTTTTTTTAAATTATTATTAGCATCCAGTGAAGACAGCAAAGTTAGAATTTAATTTTAGAGAGAGACATGTTTCTTTACTGTGCATATGGCAACAAAAGCTTGGAGTTGGGTGGTAATTAGTTAGATTTACTCATTTATATTTACTTGTAACATTTTAGGGGGAAAATATTTTCATGAGTAGTTTAACTGGACTGTACTTCTCACTTATACCAAAGTATATGGTTAGTGGTGGCCAGGTGGCTAGGGAATTGCACTTGGAATCCTGAGGTTGTGAGTTTGAAACCACAGATTGATCCCCGGGCGCGGCACGATGGCAGCCCACTGCTCCTCAAGGTGATGGGTTAAATGCAGAGAGTTAATTTCTCCTTTGTGAGATTAATAAAGTTCTTGTGAAATATTATTATTCCTACTTGGAACAGTGAGTCTTTCTGCATGGAGTTTGCATGTTCTCCCTGTGCATCCGTGGGTTCTCTCCAGGTACTCCGGCTTCCTCCCTTAGTCCAAAAATATTACTTTTAGGTTTAATTGGATTCCCTAAATTGTCCTTAGGTGTGTGTGTGTGTGTGCATGGTTTTTCTTGTTTTACCTACAATGTGAGGGAAGTATTTTGTAAAATATCCTACATGCGAGGACTTACAGGTACATATGGGGACATTCAACTGGTCCCTATATGGTAAAGTTCTGTTCTTTGAGTTGGGGTTAGGTTTCGGACTAAGGTGTGAATTCAGTTTAGATTAGGATTAGGTACATCTTGGTAATAGTTAGGGTTAGGGTAAGGGTCTAGGTTAGGCTATATAAAATGAAGGCAAGTCAATGAAATGTCCCCATATTTCATGAAAACAAAGCTGTGTGTATGCCTCTGTGTGTCTCTGTGTTGCCCTGCGACAGATTGGTGACCTGTCCAGGGTGACCTACCTCTTGATCATAGATTGCTGGAGATTCCGGCACCACTTTGACCCTTACAGAATAAGCAGGGAATGATGGATGAATTCGTTTAATACCCTTTTGTTCATAAAAAAAGTATTTGGATGGGTTTCTTCATGTTTGAATTGGCTACGTTGTAATCATGTTGTTTATTGAAATTTTCTAACATGCCTTAGCCTTTAAAATACCAGATCTTGTCCGTACTTCTGTCTGACTAAACATTAGATCACATGTTACTGTATGATCCAGCAATTATTTAGCATCTTAAGAACAGTGGTGGATTTCAGAAATTTGGGGCACAAAGCGAAGGTAGCCGCTGAGATTAGTAAACAATAAATAAAACAACAAGGCAATCATAGAGATACAGACATTTTAACAGAATGCACATGCATTATGTGTTTTACCTTTTTTAATTCTATAAAACTACACATTCCTCTGAAAAGGTGATCAGATTTAGGTATAGATGAAAGCTTGATGCTCTGCATCAGGGATTTTCTCTCCCACCGCCATCATAGGGTCAGTGTGGAGAGCTCATCATAAACACCAGCTCCCAACAGGTCAGCTTTCCTGCTTTGGTCGGGCTGCTTCAGAAACAAACTACTCTGGTGAGGCCTCCTTCTTTGCCCAAACTAAAGCTCTTTAAACATGGTGTCTATTGTTTACACAAAGCAAGAACTGACAATAGCCCCGGTTCAACTGGACGTCCAGCTCCTTGAAGCTGTAGAGACCTTGACATTTCTGGGTACAGTCATTGACAGTTCTCTGAGATTCTCTACAAATGCAGATTTTATTTTGAAAAATGTCCACAGAGATTGCCCACAGATTTTAGAGCTTATGGGAGAGTGTTGTCATAGTGGTTAGAGCAGTGCGCTTGTGCTCTGAGAAGGTTGCAAGTACCCGGTTTATCCCCACAGACCGCCACTCGATGTTCCTGAGCAAAACCCTTAACCCCACACTGCTCCCTGGGCGCCGCGCGATAGCAGTGCACTGCTCCCCAAGGGGATGAGTTCAATGCAGAGAGGGAATTTCCCCATTGTGGGAAAATAATTAAATTTAATTCAGTTTATTTCTATGGCGCCAATTCACAACACATCTCACCTCAAGGCACTTTACGGTTCAGCAGATCATCCAGTCAGATTGATTCAAAGTTTTCTATCCAAGGAAAAACCAGTAGATTGCATCGACTCATTGACTTAAAGGCAATCCCTCACTCTAAGCATGCTTGTAGCGACATTGGAGAGGAAAAACTCCCTTTTAACAGGAGGAAACCTCCAGCAAAACCAGGCTCAGTGTGAGCGGCCATCTGCTGAGGCCGACTGGGGTTCAAAGAGACAGAAGCAGAGATACAAAAAGCAGCTGTAAAAGGCGGCCCCGTCCAGGAAACACACAGCCAGGCAGATGTTCCTTAAAAGGATCCTGTGTCCTGAACGCCCTCACTCCCTTGAATTCAAAAAGTAAAGCATCCACACGTACGAACTGAACTGCTTCGGGCATTTTTTTACTGGTTGATGATTTTCTTCGGACCCTGCTGATTTTTAATTGATTACCCCTGGTTTAAAGTATAATAAATCAAATTGTGTTTTCAGGGGGTCGCCAGTCTTTGTTATTTTTTGGTGTCACTGGCTGAAATGTTTGCTCCACACCATCACACCACAAAAAGCTTGAACTGATGGTTCCGTCTCTATATGTCAAATTCTGACACACTCACTTGAATGCTTTAACTGAAATATAGTGGGGTTTTTTGAGTTTTTATGGCACTAGTGGCTCGTTTTTTTCGACAGTAGGCTGACAGGAAAGGGGGTATGAGAAAAGGGGGGGCACAAAAGATCACATGTCGGATTCAAACCCGAGGACTAAGGCCTCCGTACATGGGTGGCAGAGATGGCAAAAGTACTGACTTTCCGTACTTGAGTAAAAGTACAGATACTTGTGTTAAAAAATACTCTGGTAAAAGTGGAAGTACTGGTTAAACTTCTTTACTCAAGTAAAAGTAACAAAGTACAGGCTTGTAAATTTACTTAAAGTATAAAAGTAAAAGTAGAAACCACTTTTTTCATGCCGTTGCCTACATTTTAAATGGGTGTCTGCCAATAGGACTAGATCTCCGTTGTGTTCATTTTCAATCATCTCGTCGTCCATGCTACTATGCTAACGCCACCGCCACCAAGCTGCAATGATTTGCCGCCAATGAATACCGCCGAATCTGTCGATTCATCTTGTAGTGGTGCGTCAAATGCAACGTAGATTCCCATCCAATTAGATTGAATTTGGTATTGATGACGTGAAAAACAATAACGGTAACTCCATTGAAATGATTCAAAACTAAAGTAACGAGCCAATTTTTAAAAATGTAAGGAGTAGAAAGTACAGATATTTGTGTAAAAATGTAAGGAGTAGAAGTAAAAAGTCGCCATAAAAATAAGTAGTAAAGTAAAGTAAAAATATCAGAAAAATCTACTTGAGTACAGTAACGGAGTATTTGTACTTCGTTACTTCCCATCTCTGATGGGTGGTATGCGCTAACCACTGCACCATCAAAGGATTCCCACTAATATATATAGTTTTATTAAACCACAGTGCAAAAATGATCTAAAATTAGTAAAAATGTCTTCAATTAAGTGTATTTAGCCTTTATTAGAGCAGGTATATAAGGTAATCTGCTAATGAAATTAGCATTTTTACTCTTAAAACAAGTATAAAATAAGATAATTAGATATAATGCACATCACATAAGAGTTTTTTCTTATTTTAAATGTAAATTGCGTCATTCCATTGGCAAAGTGCATCACTTAACAGCTTAATTCAAGAAAGTAATGCTCCTATCTTAAGAAAAATTAAGTTACTTATATTTCAATGATTTGCAGTGCGAAGCAGGTCTTTCTACCATTTTATTGTCTTACTTCGGCAAACCTGCCTGCAGTGAACAACAAGCCCACTACTCTGTCCTTTGTCACTCTGGGTTGATCTTCTGATGCCTGTTGCTCTGAGGTTGGACATCCAAAGTTCATGTTTCGCATATCTTGGTATAAAATGTGTATTCCTGATCCACTGTGAGCCCAATCCTCTCCCTCATAACAACAGAAGCTGTTTATGGACACAGCTGCTGCTGTTTGGTT